ATCGAATATTCGAAATGTTTCAGGTATTCGAATAATTATTCAGGTATTCGAATATGAGTTGGGAGGGATGCCTAAGTTGATTACATATTATCAAATTGAATAATTCAATGTATATACGACAGTGCCATAGCTAAATGTGTTAGGTGACGTCTAAAAGTGTGTTTTGCTCCGCTCACCGGTCCCTCACAGCGGGCAGAGCTGCAGGTGCTGATCTCTCTCTCTCTCGCGTCCGGTTATACTTCACTCGCGTTTATGTCCAAATCCATCAGATCTAGCTAGTTCTAGCCAATGATATGGCTGCTGCCCCTCCCTACACGCAGATCACGCAGACTCAAACCTCATTTTTTTATTTTTTTTTTATTTATCCAGGAATGTCCCATTGAGATACAAGATCTCTTCTTCCAGGGAGTCCTGACCAACACGGCACACAACAAGTTTCAACATAAAACAAGGGCATTAAACAAAAAACATACAACTCATCTTAGGCCCAAATGCGGCGCAAATGCGCTCCGCAGCCGTTGTGAGGTTCCGGCGCTAACAGCTCATGAGCGTGCTCCCCCGCCCCCTGTCAACACTCGCGACACATGAGTGGCCAGCCTAAACAACAATAAGCGCTGCTTGGCAACCGTGTGTGGCGGCAAAGTACATAGACATTTTGACAGGAGAGATTTAGTTTTGCCGGTATTCAACATATTTTACCAGTCATAGTCCGGTAATTATTTACACTCTAAGAAGAGTCCTACACAACAGACATGGCGTCAAAAAGGAGTAATGTGTGGAAATATTTCGACCAGGTTAGTGAGCGCGGTGTAGAGGTCAAACTATGCCAAATTAAACTTATATATACATATTATACCTTGCTATACCCACAACCTCCGTTCCAGCTGAGAGGGTCTTCTCTACAGCTGGGCTGATTGTGAATCGCCTCCGCACATGAAAGCTGTAGGCTTATAGCTGTCAAACTGTGATCACCAGTTCAATACATTTGACAAATTTGACTTGGTTTCTATACTTATTTGAACATGTATTTATTTATTTCCAAAAGTTATTGAAAAAAATGTTTTCTACCCAATTTTTTCTTTCATTTCTGTTAACCGGTTAACCGTTTTTTGGGGGGTCGAATATTCGAATATACATTTGCTTTAAAATTCCCATCCCTAGTCCTGGCGTGTGCACCTGCGAGGCGACTTCACATACTGGGCCCCACTATTCCAGTCTAGAGATGTCCAGAGACACACCCCGCATCGTGCTGTATGCTTTCACACATTCTGCTTCCACAGAAGCGCAAAATGCTCATTATGTGGAAAAAAGATTGAAGAGAAGGCTCAATAACACATTACTCTAAGGATCGAGTTCAGACATATAGGCTGTCTTGAACACTATCATCAGAGTAATGTGATCTAATCAATAAATAAAGATTCATCTTATTACTATCAAAATAAAAGTGCAAAACGAAAACTTTACCATAGGAAAATATTGGCATACAAATATAATCACTTCTCTAAAAGGTAACTCATTTTAAATATAGTTAGACATATTAACCTCTTAAGGACGATGGTCCCCCAGTGGACCTCCCCCACCATTTATTTTTGAGACTGTGTCTCAGGGCTTCTTAACATTTATGAAACTATTAAGGTGTAGCACCAGATTAACGGGAAGAGTCTCAGCTAACTGAAGATATGAACCATTTTTACCAAAACAAAACACAAGGGTAATACCAAGCCGCTGAATTAGCACTAAGCGAAACAATGCTAACGCACTTAGCACAGAACTCAAGATAAAGATACCCTTATTACTTATCGTAACTGCAAATACAATATATCCGATTAAAGCTGAGACTCCACAGATTATATAGGTATAGTTTCATCACTGAGTGATCCGAACTCGCGACAGGGGAAGCAAACACAGACATCACAACACGTACCTTTACGGATCTTTTACGGGAGATCGTCTCACCGTAGCTGTCAATCTGATCAAAAGACGTGTTCAATGGCATTAAAATGGCAGAAAAAACGCAGCTGAATTGGTTGATCCATAGGTTAATAATGTATCTGTCGCTTTGAAAAAATTATTTATAATCCATAATTCCATTTGTATGTAAAAATCGGAGAAAAAAAGTTAGCTGCTAATGGTAGCCACCAGAGTGTATGCAGCTTCCGGTTTTAACTCTCACTCCTTATTTGTTAACGTGTTGGTGTAGAACTTTCCCTCGATTCCATTGGCTCTAGCGGTTAAAAATAGATTTCATTCATCAAAATCGACCAAGGGGGGCCAGAGATATGGAAAATCCACCCAAATGACCCCAGAAGTGTTTTATTTGTGCTAAATCTCTCTAAAAGGTCAAATTTAACTTGTTTTGCATCAATCTTGATACAGGGTACTTATTATATGTTATACTTTGGATTCCTAAAGCTTTTAGTCTACCTTACCATCATCCAAGGGTAGTTTTCACTATAAGTAAAAAAGGATTTTTGGACGGACACTATAATTTACAGTTTTTACTATGTATTTTCTTTAAAATAAAAAACATCTTTATTGATTCTGAATTTTCTACATCTAACTCACAGGTTTATCATTACTTTGAGAGAAAAGATGATTAATTTAACCCTTTTAGAAGGGAAGATATGGTCATTTGTTCTGGGAATGTCATTTTCGAGCCCGAGACCTGAAAAACAGGCTCAGGGCTAAACAGGTTAAAGGTAATTTACAATAATACAAATAATAATAATATTAATATTGATATTATTAATAAGCTTTGTATAGCACCTTTTTATACCAAACTCGCTTCACAGCAGTTCAATAGACAACTTAGTATAACATGACAGGATAAAAGCAATGTAGAGGAGCAGCTACATTTCAACAAATATATCCACTAAGATTAATACATGAACACTTGTGACTTGGACTCTTCTTGGGTGACTCAGACTTGGACTCAGACTCGAACACAGGTAATGATGACTCGGACTCGACTCGGACACTCCTTGGGTGACTCGGACTTGGACTCGGACTCTACCTAGGTGACTCAGACTTGGACTCGGACTAAAAAAGTGGGGACTTGAGAGTAGGGATGGGTATCGTTTGAAATGGATCGATTCCGGTTCTGCTTATCGATTCCGGTTCTTATCGAGTCCCCGTTTTGATTCCAAAATTGTAAAAGAAAGAGGTCAAACGTTTAGATAACAAAAATATCTTTATTCTTTTCAGCTTTAACTGACATTTTTACGAATACAAAATATACATGCAATACAAATGTATTGCACAATAGCTGTGCTTTATTTTAACTGAGCTATGCCTGTGGCAAGCTATTAGCAGGCATTACACTGTGCCTTGTCTTTTTCTTTTTTAGTGTAGTGGAGCCTCACTTCAGAGCGTTTACCGCGACCCATCTTTGGTGTTATGAAGTGACTGAGCTCGTGAACTGTCTACTGGAGGGCGGGGGGAGCCTCGCTGCGGGGCAACTGTGGACCTCTGTCGCCTGTCAGCGCAACTTACATGATGCCGTTATTAAGGGCGGTGCCGGCCGTCAACGGCCCGCTGACGACCGGCCGTTCTGTGATTCTCCAGAACACACAGATGGCCAGTCCGCCCTTACCCTGTATTCCACCGGGTCACCGCGGCGCAGTGGAATACAGGGTCTACCGTGTTTAGGAACCGTTAAGCAGAACCAAAATTGTGTATTTTGTATGGGTAACCGGTACCCGGCATTTTCTTATCGGTTCTCATCCGGAACCGAGTTTCGGTTCCCAACCCTACTCGAGAGTGACTTGGACTCGTGAATTGGTGACTTGACTAAAACACTGCAATTATCTGCCTCGGCCCGCGGCAGATAACTGGGTGACCTCCCTGCCTGTCAGCCTTCCATCTCGTGCACAAACTTATCTCGTGCCCTCATTGGTCATGTGCGCGTTCGTGTGTGTTGGAGGAAGGGCTCTGTAAGGAAGTCTGAAGGAAGGGGCAGATTTGTTTCGGTTGTGTACTTTCAAATTCTAGCGCACTCGAGCTGGTTTCTCCATTCTTACCTACCCTACCTTTAATGTATTTCGGCTGTATTTTGTATAGAACTGACTCACAAAGCAAACAGCAAGGTGCATTGTGGGGGCACAATGCTTTGGCGTGGGTAACATGTCATACTCTCTTCATGATGTCTGTGCCATGTACACCTGTTCAGCCAGAGCAGGTGAAAACCGCTGGCTCTATGTTGAGATTAAATGAGTCAATGCTCTAATAATGTTCTTCTTTGTTGTGCACTACCCACAGTCTTTATTATTAGTACAAATCATAGACTGTATATATAAATGGACGTAGTGTCCGTGACATCACCCATAGGATTCTGCAGAGTTGCCGAGAAGCCTAAAGTAGGCAGAGTCGGCCACTAACGGCTCGACAGTGACGTCAGAGTCTAACTCCCGCCTGCTCCAGCCTGATCCAAATAAGGGCAAAGAGGCGGAGGCGGGACTTCCTGCCGCCGAGCTGGAAGTTCCAGACCTAGTTGAGGCTACCAGCAGTGTGACTCTGATGCAAGCCGGCTAACCTACATCTGTTGCTCTCGGTCTGCACGTTTTACTTTTTCTTAAGGTAAGTGAACATGAAACTATTCAGCAAAACGTTCAATAATAATCTAAGGTATTGAGTTTTTGGGATAATACTTGCATACAAATCTTAAAATGCCTTCAGGTTTCTAAAATATATATTTGGTGGTAAATTCAACAGTGGATCCAGCAAAGATTCAAATATGTGCTTGATTTTAGTTATTGATTTTTTGCTGTTACTTAATTATACTTTTAATAAATTCAAGTCAAGCTTAGTAACATGTGATGGTAGCTAGTTTGTGCTCTTACCTGTGTGCCTCCTCCACAACCAGACTGTATTAAAACTCTTAAGTACCAGTTCTATCTACTTTACTTTAAACAATTAAAAAGACAAAATCAACTAATTGTATTGAAATAACAATGTTCATTTTAGGTGCCTCGTCTTCTTTTAAATGAAATGAGATATTGAAATACAGTAATAGTATTGTTTATTTAAACAAACTGAGCCACTACTTACAGTTAACTTCATATTTCTTATTGTCTAAAGCATTCATTACACACATTTTCCCCTCTCATATTCACAGTGTGGATCAACTGAGACAGCGTGGAGTCCAGAGAGCTGCAGGGACTTTGGGAGAAACCTCAGTGTGACGGTTGTCCTGTCTGTGGGTTTGGCTGGAGAGGACTGAGGTGGAGCGGTCTTTCTCTGGGAGGAGGACCTGGCCTTATGAAGAAACCACCTAACTGCATCTGTGAGCACAGCTGTCACAAACAAATTATGGTCCTGTTTGACTAAACACTATTCAGTGTGCAGATCTTTGTTTTCACAATAAAAGTGTAGTTTCTTAGTGAATGTCTTGTATTGGTCTTTAATCTCATATCAGCTTTTCATTTTCTTCTTGCCCCTCAGAGAAAATGGTGAGGCAGTTGTGTCCTTCAGGTATGTCCTTTCCTAACAGAAATGACAAACATAAAACATATTACATTATTGCAGAGCAAGTGTGTTATTTATGAAAGGGGTGCGTTAGAGGGCTGTATAAATAAATACAAAATTATTTGAATGTGTTTTTTTTTAATTCATCACTTTGTACTACAAAGATAATCAGATTATGAATGAACAGTCGGCAGTTAATCAACATTAAAATATATGTTATTATTAAAATAATATTCAACTGTTATTAGAACTTAGTGTAAATGTAGAATCATGCTGTTCGGTTGTCCACTTTTACCACGTTTTTACAGACAATATGTACAAATGGTAGTAATTTTCACAAAAGTAAAATAATAATTGCCCTAAATGCATTGACATGTGATAGCTGACAAAAAAATCAAGTTGCTTGTTAAAATCTAAATGTAACTTTTTGCAAGGAAGGAACATTAAACTTCCCTGATGTCAGTATTTAGTCATGTTTAATGGAATGTATATCAGTGTATTATAGTTGTTACTTCATCTATTTAATACAAGAACGTTTATCCATTCTTTGTACTGTATGAAAGGGGTCTTTGTACCTTTTGAGTCCATGCTGAAGTTCACTGATGTTAGGAATAGGTCTGTCTCTCGTGGTCAGCATCCTCTGGTCTGTCTGCATCACCTGGAAACTTTAAACAAACAGATAGTAAAGTAACAATGTGTTGGTCACAGACTTTTTTTACATGCAGACATCATGTCCTAATCTTTTTGATTATCCTTGAAAAAAAGTGCTGGATATCACAGCCCTTAAAGGTGGGGTAGGTACGTTTTGAGAAACCGGCTCGAGATACACTTTTTGTTATATTCCATGGAATGCTCTTAACATCCCGATAGCAATGAATATCTGAAGTGCTTTGACAAAAAATCCATTAAAAAATGTCATCTAAGCCGTAGTACTGTAAAAAGCACGACCAATAATTGTAGCCGTCCCGGCTAAAGTAACTGGATGGCCTACCTGCCTGTCAGCCTTCCATCTGTGTACAAACTTATCTCGTGCCCTCATTGGTCATGTGTGCGTTCGTGTGTGTTGGAGGAAGGGCTCTGTAAGGAAGTGGCAGATTTTTTCCGGTTGTGTATTTTCAAATTCTAGCGCACTCGAGATGGTTTCTCCAAAATTACCTACCCCACCTTTACTGCATCTTATCAGTTGGATTGTGTATTATTGTATAGTTGGGGTCCTTTTTATTTTACTGTTACTTTGGAATAGTTTTTTTAATGAGACAGTCAAATTAAATATTTGTCCTATGCCATATTCACATGCATTTGTTACACACACGTAAGGGTAAAAGACAAACATCTTTAACAAATGTAATGCAATGAATAAGCTTAATTGTCACAGAAGCACACATAACGTCATATCTAATATTTAAACAAATCATTTCCTTGTCACTAAAGCATTGACTATCGTCCTTAAATGCAGGCATGTTACATGTTCACGTTCTGCTGCCACAATAAGTCGGTTTCTCCAGTGTAATGATAATAAAATGCTAAGTAAGTATTGGTAATAATATTAATAAAAACAAGAACGTTTGGGTTCGCTCGTTTGATATGATGAACGTTAACCAGTAAGCTTCAATAATCAACTCCAGCTCAACAAACCATATTGCAATATCTACGTTAACGTTATTTCTGGAACCATCTGGAAATGTAAGATTCATATTTTTCAGATACACAGATCTTAAGGCACGGACACACTACACCAGGCCGATTATCGGCGTCGGTGGGCGTCAGGCCGACGATGAGCGTTGACACGCCCTACTCAGATTGGTGTGTCCCGCACCGTCGGGTCTTTTCAGCCGTGCCGACGCCTTTTTGGCCGAAAACGGCAGTCGGCAAAAGAAATCACTCTGATTGGCTGTTCAGCTAGCGAATCAGTGCATGAGAAGCCAAACGGAAGTGAGGGACCCAAACAAACTATGAAGGCAAATCTGAGATTTCATTAAAAGGGCCCATGACATGGCCATTTCTACTGATCATAATTCCATTGTTGAGGTCTACTAAAATAGATTTATATTGTGCAATTTTCCAAACTCACATTGGTTTCTCAAACAGCATCTCTGTAAAGTATTCACCGGTATTCACTCTGTCCTAAACGGCTTGTTCGAGCTCCTGCCCCCCCCTCCCTGTGAGCCCAGTGTACTCTGATTGGTCGGGAAGCTGACAGGCTCGTTGCTGCTCGCACACACACAGACACACACACTGCTGCGGGCTGCTGCAGGAGCAGACAGGCTTGGCGATACAGCTAGAACAAGCTAAACTCATCCTGAGCACACAAACACTCACTGACGAAGTAAAAACAATAAGTGTGGCTTGATATTGAGTAAGAAAAAGGTTTATAACGCTGTGAGAATGGGTCTGCGGAGAGCATTTCTCCGCGATCCCAACGTAGTCCGAAAAACGTTTACCCATTTAAACAGTCGTGGTAGATACCTTGTTTGTTTTAAACATCATAAATACACAAACAACAATGAATACTTACAGGTTGTGTACCCGAATCTCCCGCTGGTCCAAACAAAGTAGGAACAGCATCGTTCTTCAGTGCCCTACATATCCGGCATGAATCGCTGAAAGGTTTGGGAAGCTTTGTTTCGTGAAAGGCTGGCAGAGGGTGTGGCCTCTGGCAGGGCTCTCGACTAACTTTTTTCCCCATCCTCCCGGAACCGTCCCAAAATACAATCTAAGCCGTCCCGAAATTAATGTGGACCGTCCCGAATTTAAAATGTTAGTTTTTCTACATTATCATTAGTTAAAATCATTCAAAGTGACCTTTAACATAAATAAAACATCATACAAATCATTAGATGATAATTCATCAACCTTTTTATTTGAGTAAATCATTCAATCACATAAACAAAGGCCAAATATATTTAAACAAATGAGAAAATTACTCTAATATTGAATCCAATCAAGTCCCATCCAATTAACAAAAAAATCCAACACTGTGTCCTGAAGACAGAACCTAGAGTAACCACTAACCAGGATGACAGTCTGTAACACAGTCAGGAGACCTTTACAAACGGCCCCGGCCCCTCGCACACAGACGGGAGAGAGAGATCTCGTCTGGATTGGAAAGCTCGAAAATACATCATAGACGCATGGTGTAGTCTTATTGCATATTAGAAACGGAGTTGGTGAAACTAAAACTGCGATATAATGTGTATGTAGCAATAATACATATGACATATATTTTTTAAATGTCTCCAGTACCGATAAAAAGTCCGATAACGTCGGAGCTTAACGTTGCCACTGTCTTTAATAATTCCGGCCCGGGGCCCGTTTAATACCGGGGCACGGTGCCCATCCCTACATGGGGAGAGGCACAGCATATTGCTAAGGACTAAATATGATGGAAGGTTCCCTTCTCAGCCTTATTACCCTAGGGCATGGGTCGGCAACAGGCGGCCCGCGGGCCATTGTTGGCCCGCCAGCAATAATATTTGGCCCGTAATTTTGAGAATCAAAAATTTTTTACAACATAGGACCGACAGTCGCACATCAAGGTTTCCGTTAGCTGCCGATCGATCGGCCGCCGGTCATTATCGGCCGATATTCACTCTTAATAGTTTGATCGGTGCTCTCTATAAAGGCCGATCAGGAGAGCTGGATCTGATCGATATGGACATAAACGCAAGTGAAGTATAACTGGACCCGAGAGAGAGATCAGATCAGCTGCTGAGTCTGACGGAGACACGCAGCTCTGCATAATCACCTGAAGCCCCGCCCACTGTTTAGCGAGCTGCATGAGAAACTGACGGGCTGTCAGAGAGAGAGGGAGGGAGAGGGGAAAAGAGAGCATCCGTTTCTCCCGTGTTATTATTCAAAGTTAATGTAAACTTTTGAATAATGTACTTCATCTACTACAAGTAGTTTGTTTGAATGTAATAATGATGTTTTTTGTTGTTTTTGGAATCATTTATTGAAAAATGAATCTGAAATTTTCGATCTGTAACGATTATAAACTGAAGCAATATAAAAATGAGCCCCATTAACTGAGTTTTAAACATCAGTATATCCGGTCATAGTCCGGTGATTACCTGCTAAGGGAACTCTGCTACACCATTCTTCTTATTATTATTGAAACATGACCGGTGAGTTTCAAATTTGTCCGGTAAAATAAATTCTGTCCCGACATATCCGCTTACATTCATAATGTCAGCGGAGGGAGGGGAAGCGGCGCTGTGGAAGAGCAGAGTGGCGAGTGAGAGCTGTCATCTTCCCTTTACAAGCTTCAAAAATGTATTTATCGTGTGATTTTGGAAATAAAAATGTCATATTCTGAAAGACAAGACTTTGTGTATTTAAAATCAAACAAAACACCCGAACCCGAAAAACTAGTTTTTTACGCAAATCCACGTTTATTTTTAAATGAGCCGTTGAGACTTTCAACTGATTTCGATAGAGCGGGTCACATATGGCAAATGTGTGGTTGTGGGGAACCAGGTCAATTAAAGTACTTATTTAACTATTAAATACATTGAGTTTGAGTAAAATACTTGGTTACTGATTAATTTAGGTTATAATATATTAAATTGCAAAGCAAAACATGCTGTAATTGATTTATTTTGTCCTTTGGTATTTTTTAAAGGTTTTCAACCTGAAAGAATCCTAATGTGTCCTTGAAAAGTTGAAATAAAGAAAAGGAACAAGGATTCCAGTTGTCCATGCGTCCTCTGTTGCCCCTCAAGCCTCTCAAATGTGGGCAAACACTAAAATAAATGCCAAAAACCCAGAGAACTTGACAATAGGCCTACTTATCAGAATAAAAGTATGTTAAATAACACTGCTAGTTAATAACTCTACTTTACTCAGTGGAGGCTCGTCCATTGAGGAAAGGGAGGACCATCCTCCCTACAATTTCAGAGAAAAGTCAACTTTGAAGAGAACAATAAATACACCTCAATTTAAAAGATAAGTCTGTTAAAATACAGATAATAGCCCTGGCTTTGGGACTGAAATGGGGCTAGAGAGGACGAGCCTCCCTTTGGGCGGGTCTAGCCAGAGGCTCTGGATTGGGCGCCTATATCATCAGTGAACCAATCAGCGGATCTGACTGCGCATCAGAGTGTTGATGGGAGGGTTATCAGCGATATCAGAGTTTTTCCTGAACCGGGGAACAGGGGCGCTGCGCCCTCTTACCAAAATCAATTCCTTGAATTAGGCTTTGATTATGTTCTGGCCCGCCATCTTGCGGCTCAGCAAAAAATTGGCCCAAGGCCAAACTTACTTGCCTACCCCTGCCCTAGGGGATGAAGAGGAGTAAGTAAATAAAGAGGCCGGCGCTCCAGGGTCTGGTTCTGCTGTGCGTTTTTGTGATGTAACGGTAAAACATTTCAGAATTCCTCCACGGGATGCCATTGTACATCACTCAACCCGCGAAATACACACACTCAGTACATAGCTAGACCCGCGAATTTGCGGGCCAGGAATTCGCGGGCACAGCCAGCTGGGCGGCTGGCTAACAGCCAGCGGCACAGCCAGCTGGGCGGCTGGCTAACAGCCAGCGGCACAGCCAGCTGGGCGGCTGGCTAACAGCCAGCGGCACAGCTGTAGCTACGTACTGTGTGTGTATTTCGCGGGTTTCTAAATGTTTTGTGCGTGTGTTTATGTTGACAAGGAAGTTTAATAACTG